AGCATTTCGGGATTATTGTGTGATGGTAGGTGGGTGGAGGAACCAGATATGGTAAAGAAAGAAGTGGTTAATTTCTTCCGCAAGCTGTTTCAGGAGGAACATTGGAACCGTCCAAAGCCTACGAATCTAGTATTCAAGAGGCTTTCTGATGAACAGAGAATGTGGCTTGAAAGACCTTTTTCTGATGTGGAGATTGAAGAAGGGTTGAAGAGCTGTGCCGGAGGTAAGGCGCCAGGGCCTGACGGGTACAACTTTAATTTCCTTAAACTTTTCTGGAATAGTATTAAGGAAGATTTTGTTAGTTTTTTTCGGGAATTCCATCAACACAGCAGGTTAGTGAGGGGTTTGAATTCTTCGTTTCTTGCATTGATTCCTAAGAAGGGGAGTCCTAGGGAATTAAAAGATTTTAGGCCTATTAGTTTGATAGGATGTGTGTATAAACTGCTGGCTAAAGTATTGGCTAATAGGCTTAAGGTAGTGATGCCGGAGATTATTGGTGAAGCACAATCTGCTTTCGTAGGGGGCCGACATTTAGTGGATAGTGCTCTAGTCTTAAATGAGGTTGTGGATGAGGTTCGGATGAGGAAGAAATCAGCTTTTATTCTCAAGGCAGATTTTCAAAAAGCCTACGATTGTGTTAATTGGTCGTTTTTGGACGGGATGATGGATGGGTTTGGCTTTGGAGCCAAATGGAGGGGTTGGATTATGGAGTGCCTCTCAACTGCAAGATTTTCAGTTTTGGTAAATGGAAGCCCAACAGAGGAGATTGCTATGGAGAAAGGGTTAAGGCAAGGAGATCCTTTGTCCCCTTTCTTATTTTTGTTGGTTGTTGAAGGGTTAAATGGGTTGGTCAAAAAAGCAGAGAATGAGGGTTTATTACATGGTATTGAGGTTGGTAAAAGGGGGTTGACGGTTTCTTTGTTACAGTTCGCGGATGATACAGTGTTTCTGGGGATGGCTGATAGTGGAAATATTACCATGGTTAAGATTGTTTTAAGGTGGTTCGAGTTGATGTCGGGTTTGAGGATTAATTTCAACAAAAGTAGCCTGTTCGGGTTTAATGTGTCTGAGAGATGGATTAGAGGGGCAGCTGCTGTT